ATATATGGTGCACTTTGCACGTCCACGTTCACCGGTCCGCAACAACGACCGCAGACTTCATTAGTCAGCTGGCTCGTCAAGGTCGATCTGGTCCAGATTGTTTGTGCCCATCATGACGGCCTGGCACGTGAACCAGGCCTATAAAATAGCGGTGGGTGTTAAGTCACCGACCCATCAACCTGTGGATGGTCTGATTGAATCCCCGCACTACTTACGTTAACATTTTTCAGTTCCTCAAGCTCCTTGACAGTCTTTGGTAGGCCACAGTTCTCTTCCTGAAAATTGATTGCGCACAAGTTGAACATCAAGTAAAAGGTTAATAAAAGATTATTGGTAGTGACGGTCAAAGTTGTAGTATTGTCATCGTTGTTAAAACGAACGAATGAATGGAACAACGTGTGCGATGCTGTTGGCAGAAAAATTGGTGAGCGGAGTTCAGATCATAGGAGAATGGTAAACCTAACGGGGGGCGGAAGTGTAAGATCCTTATTGGCCAGCATATAAAATGTGGCTCCTCAAATGAGACATGCATGGAGATAAATGGTGAATACTGAACGGTAACTAATGCGGATGGTGTGAAAGTAGTCGATAGGCAACAGAAGTGGCAAATGCTGTTTCAACTGATATATAGCAATAGTGAGTGGCAGATCCCAGCTGGTGAGACAATCTGCGAAGCAAATTGACAAGATTATTCACAATAAGAAACAAATCTTCAGAAACAGTTGAACTAATCAGATGATCTTAATTTGCCCTCGGTGTGAAAAGTTTAAGTCCCATGAATATGCTTTCAACAAGTCCTGAAGCTGGAATGCGCAATCTTTTCTGGGTAGCATTAGTCTCTGTGAGATTCCGGAAGGTGAATAGTGACTGTGTGTGATTTGATCTCATCACTTATGTGTTGCTACTGCACAAATCAATGCGATAAACACTATGGAGATGAATCCGATAGTTCAGTAATTTCAGAAAAAGCCGGCAGCTTAGGCATTCAACTTGGATTGATGGAGCCGAATTAAGCTGTTTGTTATGTCTGTATATTGTGTGCTGGGTCGAACCAGTGCATAAATTCCATAACACAACGGAAGGTTTCTGCTTAGGAAGGGCCGACAAATGGCCAGTTAAACGAATTCACAGGTTCTACATATTTCAGTTACAGTGTTATAGTTCTAGAAAACCGGTGCCGGGTTGAGGAGACTTGTTTATTACGAACCACAGTTAGGGTATGGATCGATTGGCGTACATATAACAAGATGACATCACAATTTCCGGCAGCGCACAAGATAATCAATGAGACAGTCCGCAATCATTATTATGAGCACAGCAATTCGCTCTAAATTTTCTTTTTCAATTTTGACTGTTGAAGGAAACCGCTAACCGCATCTTTTTATCTACTACTCACAAATGCGAGTAGCACCTCACAACAACAACAGAACCACAGACATTTGTACCGGAGTGATAAACCCACAGGTAGTAAAAGCCTAGCCAACATGCGTTCGCAAACCTAGATAAACCGTTAGCATTCTGTATGTGTTGTATAACTTGTGCGTAGGCTTATATGCATTTAAACGTAACAC